GCGATCGAAATTTACTTGGCTTCTTCGGCCGGCCGTCGACCGTCTTCACCGTTGACATATTTGGCTTCGAATTTCCTTCTCTTGGCCATTGAAGTTTTCAGACAGAGAGTAGCTTTTTGTGTTAAGGAAGATGACTATTTTGGCTATTGCGTGTGGAAGGAAGGAGAATATCTCTTCCCAATATTTATTCAATGATATTACCACCATTAATTTGTGTAGTGGGTAGTTTAAAAGTTGCTTAAAATAAACTATTATCTTAATTAATAAAATATTACGTATTTGTGATCAAATTTTTACCCATTCGTACTATTAATATTACTAGTACAGATCCCGTGCGATGCACGGGGTGTACAATTTTAAGGTCATTTATCTAGCCTTGTAATTATATAAATGAACAAAAAAAATGTAAGGGATATATAGTACGTGACCTGTGCGAGACACGGAAACTATTTATTTGAGGAGTATAACATTTTAAAACGTGGAATATCTTTTCATTTGCCAGTGAGATAAGTATGTTGAACTATTCTTATCATCTTTTATAAATAAATATAATTATAAATTATTCCTTGCATAATACTATGAGATGCGTTAGTTATATTAGTTGTAAATTTGTTTTTATTTGTGAAAGAGAGAGCGTGATTTATTTCCTTAATAATATGGAATTTTGGAAACAAAAAAATCTGAGATAAAAAAAATACACATCCAAATTGGAAAAAAAATAAGAAAAAATTTGTGATCAAATGCGTGATTTATTTCCTTAATAATATGCAATTTTAGAAACAAAAAAATCTGAAAAAAAAAAAATACACGTCCAAATTGGAAAAAAGATAAGAAAAGATTTGTGATCAAATCTTACTATACACGTTTTATTTCTTGATTTTATCAGATTTTTTTTTTACCAAACTACACGTAATTAATGCACTTGATAAGATTAGAAAGTCATTAATTAATGTTGACTATTCAACATACTGAATTTAGTAAATAGGTTTGCTTATAATATAAGTATAGACTAGTACAGATCCCGTGCGATGCACGGGGTGTACAATTTTAAGGTCATATATCTAGCCTTGTAATTATATAAATGAATAAAAAAATGTACGGGATATATAGTACGTGACCTGTGCGAGACACGGAAACTATTTATTTGAGGAGTATAACATTTTAAAACGTGGAATATCTTTTCATTTGCCAGTGAGATAAGTATGTTGATCTATTCTTATCATATTTTATAAATAAATATAATTATAAATTATTCCTTGCATAATACTATGAGATGCGTTAGTTATATTAGTTGTAAATTTGTTTTTATTTGTGAAAGAGAGAGCGTGATTTATTTCCTTAATAATATGGAATTTTGGAAACAAAAAAATCTGAGATAAAAAAATACACGTCCAAATTGGAAAAAAGATAAGAAAAAATTTGTGATCAAATGCGTGATTTATTTCCTTAATAATATGCAAATTTAGAAACAAAAAAATCTGAAATAAAAAAAAGAAAAATACACGTCCAAATTGGAAAAAAGATAAGAAAAGATTTGTGATCAAATCTTACTATACACGTTTTATTTCTTGATTTTATCAATTTTTTTTTTACCAAACTACACGTAATTAATGCACTTGATAAGATTAGAAAGTCATTAATTAATGTTGACTATTCAACATACTGAATTTAGTAAATAGGTTTGCTTATAATATAAGTATAGACTAGTACAGATCCCGTGCGATGCACGGGGTGTACAATTTTAAGGTCATATATCTAGCCTTGTAATTATATAAATGAATAAAAAAAATATACGGGATATAGTACGTGACCTGTGCGAGGCACGGAAACTATTTATTTGAGGAGTATAACATTTTTAAACGTGGAATATCTTTTCATTTGCCAGTGAGATAAGTATGTTGAACTATTCTTATCATATTTTATAAATAAATATAATTATAAATTATTCCTTGCATAATACTATGAGATGCGTTAGTTATATTAGTTGTAAATTTGTTTTTATTTGTGAAAGAGAGAGCGTGATTTATTTCCTTAATAATATGGAATTTTGGAAACAAAAAAATCTGAGATAAAAAAATACACGTCCAAATTGGAAAAAAGATAAGAAAAGATTTATGATCAAATGCGTGATTTATTTCCTTAATAATATGGAATTTTAGAAACAAAAAAAATCTGAAAAAAAAATACACGTCCAAATTAGAAAAAAAAGATAAGAAAAGATTTGTGATCAAATCTTACTATACACGTTTTATTTCTTGATTTTATCAGATTTTTTTTTACCAAACTACACGTAATTAATGCACTTGATAAGATTAGAAAGTCATTAATTAATATCGACTATTCAACATACTGAATTTAGTAAATAAGTTTGCTTATAATATAAGTATAGACTAGTACAGATCCCGTGCGATGCACGGGGTGTACAATTTTAAGGTCATATATCTAGCCTTGTAATTATATAAATGAATAAAAAAATATACGGGATATATAGTACGTGACCTGTGCGAGGCACGGAAACTATTTATTTGAGGAGTATAACATTTTAAAACGTGAAATATCTTTTCATTTCCGAGTGAGATAAATATGTTGAACTATTCTTATCATCTTTTATAAATAAATATAATTATAAATTATTCCTTGCATAATACTATGAGATGCGTTAGTTATATTAGTTGTAAATTTGTTTTTATTTGTGAAAGAGAGAGCGTGATTTATTTCCTTAATAATATGGAATTTTGGAATCAAAAAAATCTGAGATAAAAAAATACCCGTCCAAATTGGAAAAAAAGATAAGAAAAGATTTATGATCAAATGCATGATTTATTTCCTTAATACTATGGAATTTTAGAAACAAAAAAAATCTGAAATAAAAAAAAAAAAAAAAANAAAAAAAAAAAAAAAAAAAAAATACACGTCCAAATTAGAAAAAAAGATAAGAAAAGATTTGTGATCAAATCTTACTATACACGTTTTATTTCTTGATTTTATCAGATTTTTTTTTACCAAACTACACGTAATTAATGAAGAGAAATGCAAATTGAAATATCCTTTGCCCAGCGAGATCATCTGAACATTCTCTCGGATACCCCATGTTTCAGCCAGCCGTGGGAGTGACCACTGTTGTTGCAATGCCGTATGGAGTTGCTGATCCAAACAAACGTAATTTTTCCGGGTGATTGACTATTCAACATACTGAATTTAGTAAATAGGTTTGCTTATAATATAAGTATAGACTAGTACAGATCCCGTGCGATGCACGGGGTGTACAATTTTAAGGTCATATATCTAGCCTTGTAATTATATAAATGAATAAAAAAATATACGGGATATATAGTACGTGACCTGTGCGAGACATGGAAACTATTAAATGACACCTTAAATTTCGGTTTTAGATCATTTTATTACTTAAAAAATCCGGTTAAGATCTATTATGTGTGCATGTTTTTTATTTTTTTTTCTTAGAACCAACGAACAACATTAAAATCTCGGTCTCTATGTTTATAAAATCTCAATTCAAAATATAACAAAAATTTTAGAATGTCGGTCTTTATATTTGTGCCTTTCAAAAAAATATAGAATGCTAAAAATATTATTTAAATTGATAATCAATCATTTAATCTTAATTTTTTGAAAATTACTATGTTTATCTTTTATTAATATGCATAAAGTAAAAATAATTAATGCACCTTTAGATATATAATTTATAATATTAATATACTATCATTTTGTATAGACAAATAAGGAAATTTTTGGATCAATCGGATTGAATTAGGGTACTGCTCAAGTTGATTGAATCACTTTTAGATGGTATTTAAATATAAATTTTAATACTGAAAATAATTTATTACGTGAATGTGATGTAGTACAAACTTCAAATAATCATATTAACAATACTTTTATGAAAACATGTTTATTAATTTATAAATACTTATATCATTTTATTAATATTTATGTGAATAAAATAATATTTTATTATAATTTTTATTAATGTACAGTAAATAGAAGTTTTCAAATCCGGACCATCATCGAAACGATCAAGTTATTTTATTAAATCATTTGTGGTTTGTTCAGATTTTTAATTTATAACTATTTTAATATATATATATATATATATATATATATATAGTGTTTTTTGTAATAAATTTAAATAAAATATGTTACTTAAATACCTAAACAATTTAAAATTTCAAATGTTTAAACTAATTGATAAACAATTATAAATCTCTAGTTTATTTAAATATGTTAATTTTATTTAAAATGATTTTAAATGTAGCAAAATTTATTTAGAAAATTGTATCGATCCTACCAGTTCAACCGACTGTTGTTGACGGATTCGATAGTAAATGTTTTATTCAAACGAACTAGACTGGTTATAAACCGGTTCTCGATCCATCCGATCGGACTGTGACCAAACACGGTATAATTAAAAAAAATGATGGATCTTGATTAATGTTATTTATATATTTAATTTATAACACAATCTTAATATTATTTTCTCGTGTATCACACGTGACACACTAGTTATTATTATTATTATTACTATTATTATTATTATTATTATTATTATTATTATTATTATTATTATTATTATTATTAAAAAATGATCTAAAATGATGAACAATTAGTAATAAAAAATCCAACCTAGACATTTCCAAACGGAGGAGTATAATTCATGGAAATCCCGCCACTTTCCTAATAACAAAATTAATTAGTACATAAATATTTATGACAGAGCAATTGCAAGATCAATTTTATTTCTTAATTAAATTAAAATTATACAATCCTATTAAATTAAATTTCCGATATTACAGATTGATAAATTGATTTTATACAATCCTATAAATTAAGGAGATTGACCCGAGATTTGATACCATAAGTTACACGACTTCCTTCATCTTATATATATAAGATTTCTTCATCTCTTATTTTCTCATTACTTTCTCCAATTTTCTTCTCTCAATATTCACATAAAAAAAAAAATTCAATTAAAAAAAAAAAACATGACGTCACGTTGTTACCAGGTCTTCACGTTGGGCGCCGCGGCTGGTGGTGGTGTTTCTGCTTTAGCCGCCGTTGCCATAAAGAAGAAAAGATTTGATGCAGAAAGTTGCAATATTGATAAACCCACGAGCAATTCATCTCCTCCATCAAATTCGGACAACGTAACCTTTCTTTTTTCTTGTCTTTAACTAATTAAGTTAATACTATGCTAATTATATTTTTGGAAAACGCCGTTATGGTACCGTCACTCGGGTGTTTTAACCCTTGGATCATCTATCTATCTTAAACTAACTATATGTGTATCTAACGGTTAAAACACCCAACATGATGCATGGTACCGTAACGGGACTGTAGCATGTCACTATATTTTTTCTGCCAAAAAAAAGTATGATTCTGTTTATATATATATATAAATATATTATGATATTTCAATTTGAAAGTATTCTATGGCTTATATATGTATCATGTTTTTATGTTGACAATTGTTTATCGAACAGGGTTTATTGAACGAGTTTCTATGGGGGAAGAAACTACTGAAGGAAAGAGTTGAGGTGCAGAATGAAAAGATAAATTTTTTGGGTAGAATTGTAGTTGCATTTATCAATGGAATTCACAGTACTGATATTGAAGTGAAGCCGGGGAATAATGAACCCTCTATTGATGCACATAAAGCCCATTTGGTATGTACACAATCATATATACATTTCAGTTTCATATTAAATTTATATAACATTAATATATATCCAGATTACAAATATTTACATTAATTAAATTACACATAAAGACTCACATTGTTCCACAGATGCAGGCCGTAAAATCGAGCATCCTCAAAAACATCCTCGACGACAAAGCCCCGCCTAACGAGTCAATAACATTGTCCGAAATGACCAACGAAGAGCTCCAATGTCTCATCGAGTTCCTGCTATACAAAGGGAATCTCCCGAAAGAGATGGTCGAGAAACACTTGTACTTGTTGGCAATGGCTGCAGACGAATACGATATAGCGCCCCTCCGAAAGGTATGTGAGCATCACCTTAAGGAATCCTTGAGCACTTCCAACGCGCTTGATATTTTAGAGATATCCAACACGTGTTCTTTCAAATCATTGAAAGATGCCACATTGGACTTCATTGCTAAAAACTTCAAGGACATCATTTATTCCAAGAGATACGATGATTTCACGATCGATAATCCGCATTTGGCCGTGACGATTACAAGGTTTAGGGCTTTACGAAGTTAATTTCTTCGTCGCATGTAGGCATTTCCAAGTTAATTTCTAGTTAAGTATAGCCAATGAACTCTTTTTCGGTATTCATTTTTATTAGATTCCATCATTAGTGACTATATATGAACCGCGTTTCTTTGTTTCTTTTCTTTTCTTGTTTTCGAATAATTAAGTTTTACATTTTTTTTTCTATACAAAAAAAAAAAAAAAAACTCTTCAGCTGTGAACTAAATTTGCAGAATCAAATTTGCATGGTTCAACATTTTTTTGGTCATACCATTAATATGCATATCGGTCTGTTCTTAAACACAACTTGACTCAGCTAGTGAAAGCTCGAACTCGACTCATTTGTATGCTTAATTGAATCGAGCTTGAGTTTGTTTATTAAACGATGTATAGTTAAACGAACAAAGCTAGAACACTTAATCGGACTTGAGCTTGTTTATTAAACGAGTGGAAACTTTTTTTTACTGAGTTTTAGTTTATTGAAAGTCAAGTTGAGTTGAGGTATCATGAAATTACACGACCAAAGCTGGCTGATTTGTTGTTGCACTTGGGCTCATGTTCCATGGGCTTCAAAAGAGGTAATCCACCGGTTATAAAGTAAGCTTTATGGACTCTAATGATTTAACATAGGCTGTCCAATGAAATATCAACTGGGCCGTATAAATCAAGTTAAGGCCTATAGGAATGTCCAAATGAACATCAGTGTGAAGAGTTGGTAAATTTTCTATTCTGCGACGTACAAAATTGCGACATACAAACGTCGTATATTTTTGGAGAGTTGGTAAATAATAATTTTTGGAAAATTCTTGTTCTTTGACTAAATTAATAAATTAAAAAAAAAAACTATTAGATGAAAAAAAAGCGGTGCGTAACACTATTCGAAATGTGTTCGCATATTGATACATTTATGCGAGTTTTATATAGATATGCGATTCGTAACTATGCGAAAACATAACGCATAA